GTCTATAATTAGTGGCCATCTCTGGATCCAGTGATGCTTTCTTCAGGACCGGTTGGACTACCGCCTCCTTTAAAGGGGCAGGTACCTGACCCTCCCTCAGAGAAGCATTAACCACTTCCAAGATCCAGATCCCAATCCTGTGCTTGGCGTTGTTTATTAACCAAGATGGGCAAGGGTCCAATAGGCAAGTGGTGGGACGTACTCGTCCAAGCACCTTGTCCACATTATCAGGCCGCAATAACTGAAATTCATCCATTAATTTTGGACCAGACGGCGACATTGGTATCTCCCCAGAAGCCTCTGAATCACTAGTAGAGTCTAGCTTGTGACGAATCTGAGCGATTTTCTTCCTGAAATGCTGGAATAGGTTACTGGAAGGTAAGCGAGTTGAGGAGGAGTGGATGGTACTCAAAAGGGAGGTTTCGGAGGCACAAGCCTTGATGATACCTCTAGTTAGTAAGGCGGGGAGGTGAAGAAGAGCACCACCATGGATGTGAAAGGAGGTGGTTAGAGGGATTAGACGAAAAAGGAACCTCTGTACAAAATGGGTACTGGGGGCAAATAAACAAAAGGGTATACTGGGGGGAGGAGGCCCGTTGCAGAAGGATTCTTCGCAAGGCTAAGACTGATTATGAGCTGAGATTTGCAAGCAATATCAACCCAAACTTCAACCCAAAACCCACTTATTTATCACAAAGTGCCAACACTACAATAAACCATTAGTGGTTACCAGAGGGTAACCATTAGTGGGGAATCATCAGGCCAGTGACAAGTGGGGTCTCCCAGGGCTCTGTCCTGGAGCTGATCCTGTTTAATCTTTTCATTAACGATATGGAAGAAGGGGTGAACAGTCTGCTGATCAAATGCACAGACGATACTAAAACTGGGGCAGTGGCCACAATTGAGGAGCAGGTACTCCAGATCCAAAAGGATCTGGACAGACTATGGAAGTGGGCAGGAGACAAGAGGATGGATTCAATGTGGATAAGTGCAAGGTCTTGCACTTGGGGCATAGGAATGGGTGTCATAAGTACAGGTTAGCGGACAAGTGGCTGGAGAGCAGCACTTGTGAAAGGGACCTCGGGGTGCTGGTTGACTGCAGGCTAAACATGAGTCAGCAGTGTGATGTGGTGGTCAAGAGGGCAAACGCCACCCTTGGTTGCATAGCCAGAAGTGTGGCTTCTAGATCGAGAGAGGTATTACTGCCACTCTACACGACTCTAGTGCGCCCGCAACTGGAGTATTGTGTTCAGTTTTGGGCCCCTCATTACAGGAAGGATATAGCCAGGTTAGAATCAGTGCAGCATAGGGCCACAAGGTTGGTGGCCAGTTTGCAGGGGATGGGGTATGAGTTGAGACTGAGGGAACTGGGTCTCTTCAGCCTGGAGAAGAGGAGACTCAGAGGGGATCTTTTGGCAGCATACAAGTATGAGAGGGTTAAAGGGTACCTGCCTCTTTAAAGGAGGTGGTAGTCCTGCCAGTCCTGAAGAAGGCATCCCTGGATCCAGAGTTGGCCACCAATTATAGACCGGTGGCCAATATCCCATTCCTGGGCAAGGTGTTAGAGCAGGTGGTGGCGGGACAACTCCAAGCACTCTTGGATGAAACTGACTATCTGGACCCATTTCAGTCCGGCTTCAGACCCGGTTATGGTACTGAATCTGCCTTGGTCGCCCTGTATGATGACCTGTGCAGGGAGAGAAACGGGGAGTGTGTCCCTGTTGGTTCTCCTGGACCTCTCAGAGGCTTTCAATACCATCGACCATGGTATCTTTCTGGATAGGCTAGCGGGATTGGGAGTAGGGGGCACCGCTTTGCAGTGGTTCTGCTCCTATCTCAATGGCTGATTCCAGAAGGTGGTGCTGGGGGACTGTGGCTCTGCTCCATGGCAGCTATGCCATGGAGTACCACAGGGCTCCATTCTATCCCCTTTGCTATTTAACATCTACATGAAACCGCTGGGAGAGGTCATCAGGAGGTGTGGGCTGCAGAATCATCAGTGCACTGATGATACCCAGCTCTACCTCTCTTTCTCAACCGATCCAGGTGAGGCAGTGGCTGTACTGAACCGGTGCCTGGCCGAGGTAATGGGCTGGATGAGGGCCAACAAACTGAAGCTCAATCCAGACAAGACGGAGGTCCTGTTGATAGGTGGTTTGGGCTCTGGGGTGGGGGACCTGGACCTTGTCCTGAGTGGGGTAGCACTCCCTCTAAAGGACAGGGTCCACAGCTTGGGAGTGCTCCTCGACCCGGAGCTGACTTTGGAAGCTCAAGTGTCGGCAGTGGCAAGGAGCGCTTTCCATCAGCTTCGGCTAATCCATCAGCTGCGTCCCTACCTGGAGAATGACTGCCTAGCGACTGTGATGCATGCATTGGTTACTTTCCGATTAGACTTCTGTAACATGTTCTACATGGGGCTGCCCTTGACGATGGTCCAGGTACTTCAGATGGTGCAAAACAGAGCTGCCAGGTTGCTGACGGGGACTGGGCATTGTTCTCACATAACCCCAGTCCTTCATCAGCTTCACTGGCTCCCCATTGAAGTCCGGGCCCAATTCAAGGTGCTGGTGATTACCTATAAAGCCCTAAATGGCTTGGGACATGAGTATCTAAAGGAGCACCTGCGTCCATACTTGCCCTCCCGCCCTCTAAGATCGGCGGCAGAGGCCCTTCTCCGGGAACCCTCCGTGAAAGATATTAGGAGGGTAAGTACCCGGAGGAGGGCCTTCTCTGTGGTGGCACCCCACTTATGGAATGCGTTCCCCAGAGAGGTCTGCCTGGCACTGTCATCATTTGTTTTTCGGCGCCAGGCCAAGACCTTTTTATTTAAATGTTATTTTAATTAATTGTTAATTTATTTACTGGTTTTATTTATTGCCTGGATGTATCCAATTTTTATATTTTTGTATTGTTATTTATTTGCTGGAAGCTGCCCCGAGGCTTATGTGAATGGGGCAACATACAAGTTTCCCAAATAAATAAATAAATAAAATGTTACATGTAGGTGGGTAGAGACCTGTTCTCCCCTGCAGAGGAGGGCAGGATGCACTCCAGTGGAGCAAAGCTCAGGAAACCAAGGTTCAGTTTGGATACCAGAAGTACTTCCTGACAGTTAGGACCCCGAGGGTATGGAATGGGCTTCCACGGGAGGTGGCTGAGGCCCCATCAGTGCGGGTGTTCAAGGATAGGCTAGACATACACATGGTGGGCATGTCATGAGCAGAGCCGGCTGAAGCTGGGGGTCAGACTAGATGGCCCTGGGAACCCTTTCTGACTCACTCTGTTTCTCTGTTTTTCTTCTTCAGCTGCGAGCCAATTCTGCCGGCAAGGAAGGGGGTACAAGCTGCCTGGCACTGACGATGGAAAGCTCACACCAGGCTGCTTGTCCACCCCTCTCAGGGATTTGCATGTGGGAGGAAACACTTCCTCTGCCCCATGACCTGGGAATCTCAGCCGGAGGACCCTGCCTCCTGCTCCTGTCAGTGTGGCAGCTTGGCATCCCCAAGATCTTGGCTGGAGGACTGAGGGGGCAAAGAGTGGGAGGCAGTGCCTGGGGACCCCTGCTGTGCCCAGCAAATTGTTACTTGAGCACAGCTGAAGCCCCTCAGCAACGTTAGGCTGGAGGTGTCTGTGCAGCTATCCTGAGTTTAAAGCATTGTTCAAACTCACCCATAGTGGTTCAGAGTGAGAAGGGTTAAATCTTCAGTCCGAAACTAACGTCTGTCATTAAGTTAATGGGTGCCTAAGCTGGGCCTCTTTTCTCTCAATGTCAGCTCTGCCTTAGTTATAGGTGAATAAATTTGAGCTTTTAAATTTTTTAAAATCTGTACTATTGTTTTTAATTCACTGTGTAAGCCGCCTGGGAAAGCATTAGAACGTCAAGATAGATGTCAAATGACATGAACAAGCATAAAATACTAGTGCACCTTACAAGATTGGTGTAAATATTACTTAGGAGGTATGCAACCCGCAAATACTCTGAAGGTTTGAAATGGACTGTGTACATGTCTAAATATAGCAAAGAGTGTGAGAGAGAATGGAGCTACGATATGAGGGAAGGAAACTATTATCGTTGATTGTTTGAACAATATTTTGCCTAGAAATGTGGATAATAAATGAATAATCAATAAGGAAATATAAATAAGTGATGAAGCTAAGTGGCTTCTGTCATTCTGACTGTTGGAAGAAGAGGGACTTTTGTCTGCACGTGGTGTAGTCCTTGAACCAAGTGTGAGGCCTCACACCAGAAAGCTGCTCTTCACCATCAGACTTCCGTACTCACCAGAGCTGCTCAAAGGCCTCACTTATTTTCTGCTGGAGGTTTTTCTTGGCTGCGTCGATTACCTCCACCTCCTTGTGCAGTTCATCTTCGACAGGGTCCTTCACCACGTCGATGGCTCGGCGGCTCTCTCGGAGGGTAAGATTTTCAATGGCCACATCCAGTGGCAAGTTCTTTGCCTGCAGGGCTCGCTCCGCCTCCTCCTTCATCTGAAAAGGAGAAATTAGAATTGACTTCACTTTCTTCTATTCTGGGGATGTGAAGGGGCTGCCACAAGTGAAAATAGCATGCTGGCAACATTGACTTGTGGGGACAAGCCATGTTTCATTTGGGAATCTTGCAGCTTGGTCAAGTGGATTCTGGCACACGATTTTCATCGCAAGCCGGCTTGAATGTACGAACCATTCACTTCTAGCAGTTCTTCGGCAACTTGAAAACTGTTGGCTCACTGTGAAGCCATGGCATGACAGCTTCTGCACAGAACCTCCTAGTACGCTTATGTAATGCATTAAGTGGCTTGGCCCTGAATTGCACATTTGGAAAGGCTCAAGCAAAGCTAAAGAGTTTGAGGACCCTCAACAATTAATAGCCAAGGTCATGCAGAGACTGCACTCATACAGCAAGACTGAACCAAAATGCTGAGCCAAGGTGAAAATCTGAATGAAGCTCAGTCCTGCCATCTGAATAAAAGTATGTGAATATTAAAGATTTGCATCTATTTCTTTTGTTTGGTTGAACATGCTTGTTTTAGTCATAATAAAAGGAAATGAGCGATGCAGCATTTGGAAGCTACATCACCTTTGGTGGTGGCGGTGGAAAAATGAAAATTATAATTCCTAAGAGCTGGGGGACAACTCCGCTCAACTATAATTATGGTAAACTAAATAAGCTGCCTGAAGCGTGGCTGCAACCTGCTCCACTTTGCCTAATGGCAGGGCCGACTGAGCTAAAGAGACTAATTTGTCCTCGTTCTAGGCAACTTACTAAGCTCCTGTTTTTAGGACACTGAACTCTGGATTTTCTATACTTGCCAAGAGCTATGGCACAGATGGCACCCGCTTATGCTTCCCTGGGGAAAAGGAAGGTATTGAGATGCCACCTACTTGAGTCATGGCACTGATTTCTGTGTCAGTGTCTGTAAGGCATTTATCCAGGGCTTCCTTCCATCGATTAACACAATCAATCCGCTCGTTTAGCCGTGTACGATTGTCATGTTCGTCCCATTTTGTCTGGAGAGGAGAGAAGGATTCAATGGTTTACAGATTTCCCTTTCAGATAGAACTAGGCTACTATGTTCGTGCTCTTACAGGGAGAAGGAAGGATAATCTCTCACAGATGCCCCTCTGTGCCTTGATAAGTTCCGATCCCATCCCTGTTGTGAACACACACACACACACGTTTGGGGATTGACTGTGGATAACCCACACTCTGTTGTTATTAAATATTTAAACTGGGATGGGGAATGTGTAGCCTCCAAATATTGCTGGGCTTCCCAGCCCCAGTTGCCAAAGATAGTGTAAGCTTCAACCAATGTTTTCAGAACAAAATATCCCTGAGATATACTCCCTTAAATCTACTAAGAATGCATGCCAAGTTTCAGTTGTCTAGGTTTCATGGTCTTTAAGCACTGACAAACATACGCAAAGAAATTTTATTATAGATTGTAATATTTAGTTTGCTAATAATGTTAACCATGTCAGACTGTATTTATTTTCTGGCTGCCCAGCAATAAATTCCCAGCTCCCTTAGGTCACCTCACCACCAGATTCCTGACTCCTGATTAGCTTTTCCCTTTCCCCTTTTTGGGGAGACTATAGAGAAAATGCTGGCATGCGGCAGAGAGTCTGGAAGAACTGCCCACCTGGTTGTTTGTTTCATTGCGAAGGATCCGGGCCTCCTGCCTGATCTGGTGGGAAGCAGATCGCTGTCGCTCAGCATTGGTGGAGAGCAGGTCACAGTTCGTGTACCAGTCTGGCAGTGTGAACCTTTGACCTGGCTTTACACTCAGAGTAGCCATGGCAGTGTCCTGCTATGAAAGACAAAAGGAGATGCGTTCAGAGGTGCAGTGACCCATCCTTTTGGATATGAGCATTTTGTCTGCAAGCTTCATCTTGAGACGTGGTAGTTCAAGACAGAGGTCTCCTGGTGTTGTCAGTCAAAAGACTCGGTGCAGCTATTCCGTCTTACTGAAGAAGCAGGTTTACAAAGGAAGATGCTGCGGCTTGGACCACACACAGACATAATTGTTTCCATGGTGGAGGTCACTGCACCTAAAAAAGGTTATTGTAGAGTTGAGAAAGTTCAGGAAAAAGCAACTGAAATGATCAAGGGGTTGGCATAGCTCCCTGATGATGAAAGGTGACAACTAATAGGAATGTTTAGTAGAAAGAGTGAGAGAGAGAGAAAGTAAAGTGTACCAAATAATGCATGGTGTGGAGAAAGTGGAGGGGGAAGCCCCCCCTCCCCCAATCCCCATATATAATACTAGCACTCAATAGGGTCACCCCAAGACGCTGATTTGTGGGAGATGCAGGGCAGACAAAAGGAAGGGCTCCTTCAAAGGGCACATTGTTAAACACTAGAATTTCTTTCCCTCGAATTCCTTCTGACGAAAAGGGAAATTGAGGATTAAATCTCTTCAAAATACCTGAAAGTGAGTTAAGACCCCTAATAGAACCACAGCAAGAATTTAGGTGAGCGCACAGCAGGTCCCAGAAGATGCCGGTATAGTTAGCAAACAGTACCATGGAAGCTCTTAGAGAAAAGAAGGCATATTTGAGATGACCAGAACAAAAAGGAACACAAGCTTGCCCAAAAGAAATGCAAGAAAACAATAAGATACGTTAAAATATTTTGAAGAGTATATCACACATAATGCTAAGCCCAAAAGTAAAGAAATATAGAACACACTAGAAGCAGGAAATCAGCTAAAGAGGAAGATGAGAATGGAGATAAAGCTATAAGGAAATTGCAGAAAAGCTGAATGAATTGTTTTAATCTGCTGTCTGCAAAAGAAGGGCTTTGAACTGAACTGATGTTTTCAGGAACATCTGTGGAACTGAGAGAAATAGTGTTGAGAATAGATGGTGTATTAGACTGGGGAAACAGAATTTCAGACCTGGGGTCCCACTTCTTTCCTCTGGGTATCCCGAGAAGGACATGACCCTTTCATCTGCCTCAACAATCCCTTTACTCTGAACCGTTTATCAGTTTTGTAGCTTTTGTGCAGCTTTTCTCATCCATTCTCAAAGGCTGAATAGCCTTTCCTGGAGCTTCGTTACCATTCTGAGGCTTTGTTTTAAGAAACTGCCCCATCTCTTTTCCCTTCAGCTCCACCCACCATTGGAATTCAATCCCCGAAACCTTTTCTAGTGACTAAATTGAATTTGGCACTCAGGCTGCAGAATGTCTTGCACCCCTGTTTCAGACCTTATCGACAAAAGCTAATAATTTATGAAGTCCAAACGGCATCCACCTTAGGATTCTTCAGAAATGCAAATGTGAAATTGCAGATCTTGCAATGTATCTCTGAGTTTAGTCCCTGAACTGGAGAATGGTCCATGTAAAAATGAAGAATGGTCCATGATTTTTAAAAAGTGATGCGGGGGATCCCAGAAATTACATACTGGTGAGCTTAACATCTGTTTCCAGTAAAATGGTCTAAAACATAATAAGGGAAACTGCATGGTGGTGGTTGGAGTACACTTCTGGATCTGGGAGATCCGAGTTCTAGTCCTCACTGGGTCATGAAGCTCACTATAAGCTAGTCGTTCATTTTTAGCCCAACCTTACCTAATGGGGTTCTTATTGTGAAGATAAAATGCCTTGGGTTCCTTACAAGAAGAAGAAAGGTGGGGTGTAAATCCAGTATAATCATACCACTAATAATAAATATATAGAGGATAAGTCTTGATGATAATAAATTGACATTGCTTCTGCAAAACTAAGTCCTGTCTCATTATTTAAGTTTCTTTGAGAACGTTGATAAGTATGTGGGCACGGGTGACATGATAGAGCTTGTCTACTTGCATTTCAAAAAGGCTTTTGACAAAGTGAACCCTGTGCAATTCTCATTAAAGAGAAAGGTAGATTCAGTGTGAGGCATAGAAATTAAAAATGCCAATATCATACTGTCCTTATGCAAATGATCCAAGCACACTTAGAGTACCATATACAGTTGTGGTCCTCACATCTTCAAAGTTAGATTGTAGAGTTGGAAAAGTTACAGACCAGGAGCGACTAAAACGAAAGGTTATAATGACAGTTGCTGTTTCGTTTAGGGAAAAAGATATGTACGTGGTGACATGATAGAAGTTTATGAACTAATACATGATGTAGAAAGAGAATGGGAGACGTTTTTCTCCTCTCATAATACTAGAATTGAGGGGCATCTCAAGAAGCCGACTGGTAGGAGATTCAGCACGGTTCTTTTTACACTCATTTTTAGAAATGCCAAATAAGAACAAAGCCGAACTGTTCAAGCAGTGGAACTAAGGCAAGTGAAGGCAGTTAAAACGGAGTTTCATAAAATTAATTAGTAACATAGCCAGCACATAAAGTGCATGTCAGATTAAGGAATTAGAATCAATATATTAATCATATCTAAAATTAGAGTAATAATAAACTTTATTCACATGACTATCCCTAAGAAGCACCTATTTATATACCTAATTCGTCAGGCTTGGTAAAATCAGTATGTTATCTCTTTCTTTCCTTCCTTCCGTCCTTCCTTCCTTCCTTCCTTATGTTTTTTTCCCAATGTAATACAAAGAAAGCACATCTTTCTGAATTGTCAAAAGTAATATACGAGAGCACATGTTTTGAATTGTAATGACAGTCTTAAAGTAAAGCTCTGAATTTATTTGAACAGAAACTTTTAAATCATACTGATTGTTCTTTGTTTGATTTCTTCACCCCCATCCAAGTATTTCAGTTCAACTGCTTTGGGCTGTTGGAAAAAAGTTTCTAGACATTTAATTCAGCTTACTAATTGTACATCCAAACATACTAAAAGGCAAACAACATCAATTTAGGGCAACAGAAAAAAATCTCCCCATACCAGGATTCTCTTCTTCCAATGAACTATGCTTAGTCATAATGTTTAGCATATTCGATTGATCAGTTCAGTGGCTTTTATGAAGAACTTGGTCACATTATCAGCTGTGCTAACAGACTCAACCTTTGCATTAGGTGGTTAGGATATACTGTGTCCCTTGTACAGTTCCAGGAATCATACAATTTCCAGGTGAGGGAATCGCTTCCTGTGGGTAAAACTCTAGGGTTAGGGTTAGCCCCAAACCCTGCCCTAACCTAGGTTTAGAGAGTGGAACTCAGAAATGAAACAGCTTTTCTTTAAGTCTGAAGAGTCTTATTTGATGTCCATTCTCAGTTGGGCGATTGCGGGGTACCAACCTGTGTGTGGTGTAAGTGGCAGATGAGAAGAACTACAATGAAGAAGTCCCAAATGCTGTTGGTTCTCTGCTGTTTACCCCGTACTTTATTGCTTTTGTCTACCATCTTGTCTGATGGCAAATTTAGAAGAACTCAAGAATTGGTCTGAGGTGCAATATGGTGTAGTGGTTAACGTGTTGGACAGGGACTTGGGAAATCACCCAAAGACTGGGTGACTTTAAGCAAGTCACTGACTTGCAACCTGTTCTACCTCACAGGGCTGTTGTTGTGAAGATAAAGTAGAGAGATGGAGAACCTTAAAAGCCACCTTGGGTTCCTTGCAAGAGGAAGAAAGGTGGGATATAAATATAATGTGATGGTGGTGATGATGACATATACTTTTTGGAGATACACATTCTTCCGACCAACACGGCTACCTTTGTTGTTTCCTGAGTGATTTTAAAAAATTATGAGCATGCTTTATTACAGCCATCTGTAGAATTTTGGGAAAGGAAAAAGGTGGCAGTGGTAACATTTGGATCTGCCAAATATTTGCCAGCCTTGATTAAGTTACGGATTAAAGAAGGGGAGGAGAGTTGCTTTAACAGGTTACAAATAGATGAAGAAAGGTTCTCACATAAAGGATTGGAAGGGGCTGCAGGGACAGAGAACCACAGAATAGAAGACTGACATGGAGAAAGCTCAAGTCCATGGGCCAGTCTGCACACTTGCTGCTGGGGAAATAGGCCTCCATGGGTTATTTTTCCTGCTGCCTGCTCTACTATGCTGGGGGAATCAGGACAGTTTGCTTAACACCAGCAAGAACCGGGTTTGTAAAACACGGGGAGCTACATTGCTGCGGTTAATTATGCTCATCTTCCCCAGTACACAACCGGCTTGCACAATGGCTTCTTAACCCAGCAACCCTGTGGATCAGGTCAGACTTGGAACACCTGTGCCTAGAGAGGGAACACCCCCCTTTCCCCAGAATCGACTCCACAGTTCCATGAACTCACCACCTGGCTAGTCCTCCTCTTGGGCCTTCAGCTTTCTACAGCTGCCTTATGTAGAAGCTCTGCCGGGTTGCTGAGCACGCTTGGCGTTGCTGAGCAGCGTGTTCACTGGAAGCAACTCAAAAGAATCCTCTAGCAACTGTTGACAAGGAAACCGTGGCAACGTGAGGGATTAGAAAGGAAAGACTTTTAACCACTGGGAACAAGAACTGACAGGGGAGGACGAAAGCTATAGTTCTGCACTTCTGGAGGGCACCATCTTGGGGGAGACGATTAGGTTTAGGTCACAGAACTCCAAAAGCAGGCTGGGCACCCTCCTCTTCACCACCCAACTCAGAAGTTGCAACTAGGAGGAGAGAACTTGAGGGGGGTGTTAAGGATTGCCTCCCCAAGTAGCAGGAATGTCTGGTACTCTGCCTCAGTTTAATTTTGATCACTTGCTCTTGTATCAAAAGACACAATTCTTAAAAAAAAAAAAAAAAAAAGCAACTAAAGCTGCAATTCCATCTTGGCTGGGACATGCTGGGAATTGTAGGATGTTTTTCTGTCTGAACATGCATAGGATTGTACCAGAAATTGCTTTTGACTGCATTTTTAAAAACTATATTTTCAGTCACCCCACGATCTCTGCTGGCTAGGAGCTGTCCAGTTCACACAAAAACGAA